TTTGTTCTGTTTGGTTATCGTGTCCTCTTCCTCTGTTCTTTTCAGCTGCTCTTTCCCCCCGGTGAGCGAACTGCCTGTGAACTACAGAAGAGGAGGCACGTGGGCAAAAAATGCTCAGTAGTACTTCTTGGGACTTTGGGAACTTCTTAGAGAACTGACTGACAGAAATACAACGTTTTTGACAAGTTATATATTCAGCTGTTCAAAAGTGGCACTTCACTGTGACTGTGTGAATATTATCATGATGGCATTTCAGAGCCGTAAATATACAAAATGTCACTGTTGTAAACTGTGTTAAAATAACTGGAAATGAGAAATGTTGCTTTCGTGCCCGACTGCAAATTGTTTCTGTTCAAACTGTGCAGATTTTCATCTCCTTCCCAAGTGGAACATCAGAAATCTCCGTCTATGCTGCTCAACTCACCAGTGATCTCTTGGCATCGGGCAAGAATTGTCCAAACTCAGCCAGCAGGTCTTCTTGTCCCTTGAAGAGACTGGCAACTTTAGAAAACACCTCATCTTCTGTCATCCCACTGCTGCCTCGACTGCCTCGACTCTCCTTCACCTCCAGCTGTTCCTTCTAAAATGTTATAGAGATATAGGGGAGACACACACACACAAAATAAAAACAAAACTCAGAAACTGCAAATAAAAACCCAACACCTTTTATGCTATGAATATGCAGTATTCATGGCCTTACTTCTACAGTACCTGATATGTGTGAAGAATTTCTAGGAAGGCTCTATAGATCTCTGGATGGTCCAGGAAACGGTTTTTAATCTTGTTGACGTAGCTGATGGCGCTATCAAATTCTACGGGGCTCGTCTCTGAGGCAGGCGGGGACACAGATGAGGTGGCTGCTGGATTTTGGCTCTCTCTGCTGGTCAGGGGAAGAGAAAGTCTGCTGGGAGGCTCTGGAGGTCCTGCTGCTGATGAAGACAGGGGCTCTGTTGTGGCCACCTTGACTTCACTGGTCTGGGCAGGTCCCACTTCAGAGTGAGAGGAAGAGGCGCTACCCGAGGTTGCAGCAACAGCAGGAGCGACAGGACTCTTCCCCTGCGGGCTTGGGGATACCTGCACAGAGATGCATTAAGAAAAAGACTGTTTATTTACGACTTGGGGAGAAATATCTGTTTGTATATGCCGGTGCAGGTGCAGCTAAAATGATGACGTAAACCAACTTTAATGTGCTTGTGTTGCTGCAGAAATATTAAACACTCAAACATAAGTTGGCTCTGTGGGTTCGTTTTAAATCCCTCTCTTAGCAGTGTATAAACTCTATATAACACAATAACAATTGTAATTGTAGACAAAAGGTACACAGTAAACATAAAGCACTAAATATTAAAATGATTTAACAGAAAAAGTTTACATAAACTTTCATAGGTTTTAGAAAAGAAACGCATGCATTATGCATACTTTATGCCTAATGTTCAGAAAGAAAAGTGACTGGATGTTTATATGAATGTACTTGTAATCTAAAGTCAGTATTAAAGGAAAGTAGTTCTGATGCAAATCCCAAGTCACACTAACATTACACCTAAGATTGCCCAAATCCCATTATCTTGCCATCCACTACCTAAGCACGATCCATCTCTCAGAACAAAACATCCCTGGAAGTTAGTTCCCAGCTTTTACTTTAAAATAATAAAATTGTACACAGAAACTGAAGGAGCTGACACGTATAAAAGTTTAACTCAATCTGACACGGACCAAATGCCACAGAGTGAAATCATTACAAATTCCTCAGTGTAGTCGTTTTTGTGTCACACCATAAAATTCTTTTAAAGTCTAACATAGATTCCTAATCTCTGAAATTCTTTTTTATATACAACTTGTATATATTTGGCTCTTTGTGATGAGATTTAAGTGCTTGTTTCAGCCAAAAATGCACAGGAAGAAGCAGAACTCCAGCTGAAATTTTGTTAAACTACAAAGCTGCTGTCACATTTTGTAGTGAAATCTTCGTGAGGGCTTTTTCAGGTAGATCATTCAGCTGAAGTTCAGGGCAGTAGAGCCACACCTGTTTCCTCCTAAGATGTTCTGTGGTCTTAAACATATAATGCTGTCAGCATACACTGCTGTACATTGCTTTACTTATATCTGATATCTCTTTAAAAAGAGTATCTTACCTGTGCAGAGAAAGGAGACTGAAGGAAAGCCATCCCATTCTTAGGGACCTCTATCCGATACCCCGGTGGCAAGAAGGCATTGAAGCCCAAGACGAGGTCTGGGTGTCCATGAAACAGTTGTGATACACGGTTTATCACTCCCGGTGTGTCGATGCTATTTCAGAAGACATACAGATAGTTTAGAAGTTTGGTTGAGAAAGATTGATTAACTACTTCTCTCAAACACCACAAAGCAAAAACAGAAAACAAGTTATTAATAAGCGCTACACATGTTAGCTTTAAAGAAAAAGGAGCAAAGAGGATTTGCTTTTAGTCCTCGTTTCATTTCAAGATAATAATACCAGTTGCATAATTACAGTAAGAAGCTATGTGCAGTTTCATATGCACTGATAAACTCCAGATTGTGAAACAGAACTAGTCAAGGATTAAACAGCACAACGTAATGAAACTCCATAAACAAGCAGCACAATCACCATCTAAAGAATATGTATGGGAATGTATGTCATTAAGAATGCATTACTAGAACTCCCATTACTTCTGGTTTTCACCCTGGCAGAAGTACAACTGCCAGTTGGTCACAAGATTATACAAAAACCATCAAGCTGAATTTCATAAGACTTGGTGGCGTATGGGTAAATGAAGATCCCACTGTATTTTAAAGTGGATCTGGACCACCTCCCTTAAAAACTGCACAACAGAAATCAGTGTGCTCCCTGTGTGCCCCTGTGTAGTAGTTACTTGTGGTTTGTTTGCATAAATGCCCAATGATACCTCTGCGACTTGAACTCCTTCATGATGTCGAGAAACTTGTTATATATCCCAGGGTCATTCGCAAAACGAATTTTGACTTGGTCCAGATATGACAAGGCATCTTCAACCTAAACATGGAGAAGAGGAAGAAAAAATCAGTACAGAACAAAGCACAGGCAGTCTCAGCTGGATGTATGGAGCAGCATTTTCCCCAGAATCCAGCCACGGTGCTCACGGTGGATGATTTTACAGCTACAAAGCTTGTTTATAGATTTCAAATGCTACGTTTTGCATTATTAATAAATGCATTTATTTCCGATTTGTACTATAAAATTACAGGTAGCCCCATCGTACAGATTTGTTTCAGTGCTGCATACGTGAAGTTACGTGAATGCTGACTGATTTGTTCACTATCAGCCAAAGTGCAACATCAACAAATCCTCTGGTTAGCAGTACAAGCTGTACAACTAACGCTAAAATAAATAAATAACTGGGCATACACAAGAGACACCAGGCAGCTTTTGTTCATTACTCCACTGCTTTCTTTCGCTACCACAGCTAGGCTAGTTTAGGTTGCGCTAAAGGGGGAAAAATGTCTTCACACAAGCCATTGTCACAAATAGTCCACATCTTAAAGAGGGTTGTTGTAGCTAACGTTTAGCCAGGAGCCAGTCGACTCACGATAATAACTCCACCAACACTTGCAACACCTACCCGCATACAAATTTATACAATATGTTTAGTCACAGCTGGTCCCCGGCCAACAGTGTCGCGTTGGCAAAAACAGTACGACATATTAAAACACTACTATAACAAAGAAACGTGTACTGAAGCTGCTAATGAAGTGAAATAGCCGTTCTTGGCTAGCCTGGCTGACGTCCTCCACTTTGTTCGGGTGGCTGAAAAAACGAACAAGGAGGAACTTCCCACAAGCGAGGTCTGAGTTAACGTTTGCTCACAGAAGCACTTATTGATATGGCAAATGAGAAAGTACCACTAACTGTGCCACTCCACTGTCACTCGCACATCCACTAAACGAAACATAGCTTCTAAATCCAACATTAAATGTTAACGTTAGGCTGTTTAGCAATGAATTACTTTTAATAGGCCAGCGAGCTAACTAACGTTAGCCAGCCGTTCCTTTCACTACTCTCGACGACAGAAGAGAGAAAGAGAAAAAAGCCTCAAATCCAATGCAATGATCCGACGAACAAAATGGTTCTGACTCTCAGCCACTTTTCCCTTGTCATGTCCGTTGTCTCCTTACCTTCAGCTTCTGGAAGTGCTGCTGCTGCACTTGCTTTTGTGTTATAACGTAAGGCTTGTCTTGAATTTGGTTTATTTGCTTCGCGGTGCTGTGCGCCTGAATCTTCGCCATTATCCCGGCGACAGGAGGCTCGAGAGCCGCTACCACAACTTAAGAGGGAAGCTTCGGCGTTACCTCCAGTTGTTGGCTAGCCGACAAACCTTGCTCTCGGTCGGGAAGCCAGCCTGCCAGCAAGCAACCCTACTCTGCCTAGCTGGACAGTCTAGGTACAGAGGCAAAAAAAAAAAAAAGGACGGGAAATCCAGCAGAATGAAGGTTGATGACAGACAACCTGCTACTCTCGGTGACTTTGATGAAACATCACCATCGAATTAAACGAGCCCAGGCAAGAAGTATCGGAAAATAAGCCCAGAGACAATGGTTACCGTTTTTCGTATTTAAAAAAAACTAAAGCCTGTCTCTTTAAATTCGGCGGCAGCGCTCTGTCTTGGCGTCCGGAAGCCAGAGTAGGAGTGAAAAAAAAAAAGTGAAAAATTGAACTGCGCAGTCGCAGCGATGGGAGGAGCTGAGTTCACAAGAATCAGATTGCTCCACTCCCCCTTCACTGCTACAAAGGAGCAGCGCTACTCCATGCAAAGGATGGCTGCACACTCCACAACGGTGCCCACGGAGCTCGACGGTGGACCGAATGCCGACTGTGAGAAAGATCGATACATGGCTATTGATAGACACCTACGGCTCATTCAGAGGGCATTCACAATGGATTCAGCTTGGTTTTCCAATGCAGGAGCCAGAGGCAGTTTTAAACAACTTTAATGGATATGAGGAAGCAAAGAAGAAAGGAACAAGTATTTTGCTTCGAAAGGGTTTATTAGTGACTGATTTACACATGGTAAGACATTAGGAGTAATGATGACAAATGAGAGAAAAAACAAACAAACACAATTTGTGCATTAAATATCTACAACACAGTGTTCATTCTACCACTGAAAGGAATCCATCACAGTATTAAACTATGGGGACTTTGCTGCTAGTTTCCACCTTTGTAACCACTGCTGAAAAGTCAGTCCTCCTTTACTGACCTCGGGAAGGACATGCTGGGCTGGCCTTTCCCACCTACAACACACAAAACAGGGACGTTAACTAGAGAATGAGACGCTGGACTACTGAGCAAGGGCATGAATGGAAAATAATTAGAGCCAATAAATTCAGTTAGATATTGGCCTCAGATGTACTAGCATGAATTTTATTTTTTTTTAATTCAAGCCATGAAGTCATTTAGAAATGGTGTAATCACCTGTCTGTAGATAGGCAAGTTGACAGTAAGGTTTAAGACTTCATTTACTACCAAAGAATTAAGAAAGCTGGTCTTTTTTGAAATAGTTTGAGCTGCAAAACTATAATTAGATGACTTAAACCACTATCAGTCAGTTTCCGTACCTGGATTAAGCTTCTACATTTAAAAAAAGGAAAAAGTCAATAATAATCAGAATCACTGACCAGGTGTAATTTATCCATTGCATTACGGAGACCAGTTAAAAATGGCAAGTACATTTATCTCTCCATAATGGACTCCAGCAACAAAAGCCTAGTCAGACAATCAATGAAAGATCATTAAAACTGCCTAAATCACTTACAAAAGTGTGCACGAATAATCTTAGTATTGTCTAAAGGTTAAACCAGGAAGTAGTTCTAATGAGTGTTTAAAACATGCTCTTTTAGTGATAACTCGTCCATTCACTTGCAGATGTTGTTCAGGTAACCGTATCACTCTAGGTAATTCCCAGATCTCAATTTGTAAAAATACACCCAGATTAGAAAGGAGAAATCTCGATTAAGCAGCAATTAAAATGATAACAGGTTATCGGTTTAAAAGATGCGTCTCACCAATAAGAGATGGCGGTTTTGACTTGGTCCCCATAAGAAAGGCCCTGTGCACAGCGGTGAGTGAGCCCTCGGACTCTTGGTACCAAAGACTTAAGAAGCTTTTGGTCCTCCTCCATGACTCTGGACAGGAGAGCTAAGAGTGCAGACAGACAGCAGTATGTTACTAAAAATCCACTGAGCATTTTATTTTTTAAGGAAATTTCTCAACATATTAAGTACGTGTACACCAAACACTGCCCTCATTTGTGTTTAAACCAAATGCTTTAAATCTCTTATCTCCCGATAAGTTCTCCTGGTTACCCTTTTGATCAGATGCCTCCAGCTGATCCGCTTCCTTCTTTATCTTCTGCAGAGTGGCAGAGTGAAGCTGAAGTAACTGACGAAGAAAACGCAGCTCAAGCTGTTGTGAGCGAGATCGGGAACACAACTCCTCCGGAGCCTGAAGTCGGGTGTGAAAGTCAAAAAAGTTACTAATATGCAATATATGAGGAAAAATAAAACAGTGAAAAAGGACACCTCCCAGCAGCTTTGGTACATGGAACTCTATTTTCCTTCTGCTCAGTGAAACTGACTTTCAAAGATGCAATTTTTATCATCCCTGGTTGTGAGGGGTTCAGCATCGATCAATGACCGTCCGTTACAATCACTTAGGCCACATTTAAGAATTGGCTGCAAACACTGATTTTGTAGAAAATGATTTGAGAAAGATCCACAGGAAACATAAGTGATGTTAGGATAGTGAGACGGTCACTAAGTCCCTTTAGAAGATTTCTTTGGAGGCCATTACCCAGGCAGCATGACTGAATAAACTGTTTGTTTTAGTGACTGAAATTACAATTTGAATATTTTAAAATAATACAACACAAAATCATGATGTCACCAGTTCAGAACAATGCTCCACTGACTAACATCTACTTTTACTGAAGCAAATGACTCAGTCACACTAAAGCAAGATCATCATAGCAACCTCCTTTCAGCAAAGGAAGGAAGGAAGGAAGAATGAAGTGGTTGCCCAGTGACTGCATTGAATGTTTTTAGCGTTCAGCAACCAACTCCAACTGGACGCCCTGAGTTTGAGTGTGCAACACTTCCAAACTCTGGCAACCACCTTCAATCACAAGGCGACTGCAAAGGTTGTCTGCAAATAATCGGTGTCTAATTTACGAACACGGACAGTCTGCCTGAACGATGCAATCATTCGGAGTCAGCTGAACAGAAGAGCTTTCAGAGGAGCCTATCAGGTCCAGTTTCACTGCGTGTTATACCTGTATAACCATGCACGTGACAAATAAAGAATCTTGAATCTTCATTTGTAAGAGACGACTCCAACTGCCTGTCGATTTGCAATAAACAACTGACCTGCAGTAACTACGTCGCAATTTGTGAAAGAATGTTTTAAACCTATGAGTTTCTGGCTGGGCTCTCAATGCAAGTAATTAAATGAATTTCTGTGGTATTTAGATGGTAAGGGAGGGACACAGATTTGCAATTTTCACTAATTAATCACCATATCATCACAAACAGATTGCAACTGTAGCAAAACATGAGCGTGAGAGCGAGCCGAATCAAAGAGAAAACAGTAAAACTGCAATACTTTACATATTATATGCCAGAACTCACCTTGTACAGAGGGAATGCCAGACTCTGACACACGCTGCTGAAGGTCGGGGACCGCAAGCGATGGATGGACAACCACGATGCAGGAATTCGTTGCATACTAAACAAAACAAAATGGAATTATATTTCTGGTCAGCGAATGTCACCGCTGGACAAGGACAACAATTAAATATGTTTTTGTTTTGATTCACTGCAGCTGGGCCCACAGATGTACCACCAACAAGGCAAATAGAGGGATACCAAGCAACATGCTCATACCCTTCGATAGTTCTGCGGTCCAGTGAAAGAAGTGAAACTGTTCCCATCTGTCTGGCCTCCTTAGACACAGCGTTCCTTAGACTGTTGGCTGCAGTGGTCACATCTTCAAACTGTGCCACTAGTTTTGCCTGGATGAATTCCTCTAACTGAGACAAAACACAAAGATTAAAATCCTCAGAGTGCTACAAAAAAAACCCCATAAGAATTAAATTTTAGTCACTCTCGTTTTTCACCCCAGACTGAAGCCTCTCATCAAACATATTTAACTGTCATTGATCCTGACCTCTCTGTGAAGATGAATCAGCTGCGTCTTGGCTGTCGAGTTCCCCTTAATCAGACCTCTGATCTGCTCTTGTCTGAGAAGCTATAAAAACAAGAAAGCAGAACATGATTATTTTTATGATCAGAATCAGAAAGGGTTTTATTGCCAAATGTTGAGCAGGTTTACAACATTAGGAAATTGCTGCGATGATGTGACAAATGCTGACAAAAAGTCAGTCTCCTCACACCTAGCAACCATCTAGACCACAGATCTACAATATATAATGCATGTAGAAAATATTTCATCCCAAAATATTGTCTGTCAACTCTCACCACTAGTTGTCTGAAGTCCAGTATGCTCTGCCACTGCCTGCGAAGGCTTCTTAGCGCCTCCTGTCGACTTTGGGCATGTTGGTCAAGTTGGATGCAGCGGTCTCTGATATAATCCCTGGCGGCTGCCTGCATCACACACTGCAGTTCCACCTCGAGAGCTGATCTAACAGTTCAGAGCGCAAGGAAAATAAAAAGCATGTAGAAGACGAGACAAAATTATTGCCTCTAAAGATATTACCACTAATTAAAATGAGCTCACATAGCTGTTTTCAAACAGGATGTAAATACAAAGTTTAAAAACATTGTAACGTTCAGATAAAAACAACAACAATAACAGTGGCTGTTTGTTGCCCCCCCCACACACACACAGAAACCCAACTCCCAAGGTGCAGTACTGCAAAAAAAACATGAAATGTATGGCAAAGGCAGAGAGTGAATTGGAATGAACTTACAGTGCCAAGGAATCATCCTGGAGCTCATCTCTAATACTGGACACCTCGAGCTCAGCGTCCTTCTTACGGGTTTGCAGCTGGTTTTTGAGCTGCTGGACTCTGGAGCGAGTCTGGGCCAGTTCCACCAAGTTCTGCTCCACTTCTTCCCAAGCAGCCTGCAGCAACAATCACATGCGGGTCTATGCATGAAAAGTTACCAATCGCAGATTCCAGGAAAAAGAAAGAGATGATCATGGTTCGATCAAGATTTTATGTATCAGGACATAATGTGTGAAAAAATAAGTCCACTCTTACTGCTTCTGTTTATGTCATTCACTGATCATCAGCAAATGTGACATTGTTGTTAAAGCTGGTTCTACAAGCTACTGAATCATATGGTGTGTTTAACCTTTGACACTGTTTCTGCATTTTGGATTAGTTTTTGTTAAATCAACAATGATATGGTTTAATATGACATGTGCTATTGTTTGTATTTACCTCATTTTAAGACCAGATTATCTTTATTATGTCCTGATATGTAAACTGTTAGAATTAACAGGGGGTGTGCTATTTTTCATCATGATGGTATGAACATGGTTTTGTCTGCGTTACTATTGGTATACTGCAATGTGACCGCACCTCTAAGAGGGTTTTAACTGGTGGCAACTCATTTTCCTCTTCTGCTGACATATCCAGAAGGTGATCGCTTTCATAGCGGAACCTGCATGTCAAAAAATAAATAAATACATTTTTAAAATGCATTACACTGGAAATCTGGAAGCATAACATGAAATGAAAGATCCCAGTCACTGCCTTACTGCAGAGCTGTTACATCCCGTGTCACGTCCAGAGACGACAGTTTCTCCTCCAATACCTTCTGCTCTCTTGAAGCCAAATACTGCAGCGCTGATAGAACATGGTTTGGAGGGTAAGTACCCAACACGTTCTGGTGACACAACAAGCAACAGCGTGTTAATGCAAAGTCAAAATTAAAGACAGTGTTAACACAAATACAAAAATATTTTGTAAAATCAGACACAAACACACCAACCTCAACAGCACTCAGCCAGTACTGGAATACAGCAGTCCGCTGCTCACGGGTCATACTACAGGGAAAACAAACAAACAAGAAACTAAATACATTTTAAAAGCTGAATAACTTAAATCGAGTACAGTCTGCGGTCCTTACTGTGTGGCTGCAGAGTGCTGTGTTTTCGATTCGCACTCTTGTAAAGACTGATAGAAGTGGACCCTGTCGTCACACAGCTCTCTCACATCGCGCTAAAGAAAGAAAACAAAAGTAATGGATGATTTCATGAAGTCAGCAGCTGATATGCTACAGTTGCCTCGGTAAGCAACTGATTCCAGATTTGTGCGAATGTTAACATTTCTCCCAGCATACATTAGGTAAGGTTAGGTGAAGTAATGTTGGGTTAACACCAGTGTGTGAATGGGTGGATGACTGGTTGGTTAAAGCACTTTGGGGTCCTTAGGGACTAGTAAAGCGCTATACAAATACAGGCCATTTACCATTTAACTGGTAACTATAAATTGGCCCCAAGTCTGAATGTCTGTCTGATGGATAGAAAACACACAGAGTCCCTCCAAAGCAGCTATTTCTGTCTGATAAACATTCTAAATTTTAAACTTAAGTAAAATACAGATTCGGGCATGTTTTACCAGAACTTGTGCCTCTGTTGCCACTTTGACATTGAGGCTGTTGCAAGAAGATTTATCAAACAGCACTTCAATTTCTGCTTTTCTGCAATAAACACACACACAAAAAGAAAAACATGTAAAAGGCATCGCGGCTCATTTTCACTTAAAATGTATTAGTAAATGTTTTGTCTTACCTGGCCATCTGTTCCAGAGCCTGGCAGTGCACACTGATCTGTTGGACATCATCAGAAAGATCCTTGCAGCTCGAGATGCAGCGCTGCCTGAAAGCCTGAAGCAGCAGCTCTCTGCGTTGGCCGTCTTCCACCTGGGCCCAGGTTCGACTGATAGAGCTCTCTGTGTAATCACAGCAGAAAATGCAGCTATTAAACGCAAACGGCAAAATAGTAGAGAAAAACCATTTCTGCCGTTCACCCTCAACAAAAGTTAAAGAAGAAAGATCTTTTCACAGCCATGTAAATTAAGTTGAGAAAACTGATATCACCGATTCAACCTTTTCAGCACTTTGTGGTATAACTAATATATTTGAGCTGAACCTGTCACCATGTGAAATGTGTGAAAAAGATATTTTTTCAGAACTTCTCTCATTTTAACTTTAATTATTTTATCTTTATATAAGAAAACAATCACAAAGTGTAACTCAGTACCTTTTGAAACAAACATACACAACATCAGACATGTTTGCATCTAATCAAAGTAGTGACAACACATCAACTGATGATTTTGAATTGAGCATAGGTGTGAATGTGAGAATGATCGGTTGCTGTCTCTGCGTTAGTGTCCAATGTGCACTGCGTCTCACTCAGCAGGACAGGCTCCAGTCCCCTCACAACCCTGACTGGAGGAAAATTATGGCGGAATGGCTGGAAGTCCTGCCCACAGTGTATATGATGGACTAACCTTGTGTGGCCATCTGCTCCTCTGTAACACTCATCTGAGAGTCCAGGTGACTAATCTCTTCTTTCAGCTGCTCTATCTTCTTCTGGAGATCTTTACGCCTTGCAGCCTCACTCTGGCCCTCAGCCTGACAAGACTGCACACCAGTAAACACAAACATAGCTTTTACAGACACTCCACTTTGTGAAGCGCAATCACTAACAATTAAACTAAATTATAACTGCTGGGGAAAAGAAATAAGTTGCAGCCTACCTCTTTGTCTTGAAGCGATTTATACCTAATAACAATGTCAAGGATAACAGAGCAAATAAATAACAAAGAAAGGTAACATTCAGGTCCGGGAGAAATTTAAAGTCTGTTGGAAAGAAGCTGGAAGCTTTGCAAATCAAGTCAAGACCAAAAAGGATACCACTGAAGATTGCCACGCATGATCCTCACATTCCTAAAAAGACAGAAATCAGTCAGAGGTTGCAGTTTATTTTAGAAAACAGGCCATTCATACAAATGTTTTTTCTTTTGTAATGAACCAGAGTCCTGAGTAAATGTTTGAGGACAGGAAATGAGCCGTGCTCTCGTTATAATTTAGTGATCAAAAGGTTTATAAAACAAAACAAAAAGCAAGCGGGAGCAAAGTCTCACCTTTGCTGGAAAACATGCTGGGTGACATATTTCCATATCGACTTCCCCGTCCCAACACAGAGTCTGGAAAACAATCAACATTAGTTCAAGGCTAAAAAGTTAGGTAATAACATTGATGACAGGTCATATAAGTGTAGATACCTACGTTTTAAAATAGCTGTCATTAGGCAGCCTGTCCGGGGGCAGCCCAAACTCCTCTGTCGCCCAGCGTTTCAAGTCCTGAACAAGATTTCTGTCTCCCATCCTGACAAATAACAGCGGGTAACGAGCTAAAGCTAGAAACAACAACAGGAGACTATTATCATCAGCCAGCGTAGTTAGCTTAATGAGTGCACGTAATTCACAGATGTCCCTCCAACTTACCGTGCTCCCACGAAAGATGCCTCTTTAATTCAATAAAAACAGTTTACGGCGCTAAAACGGGAATATTGTTTAACCTAAACCTACTCAAACTTTCAAGTTCCCGCCTGTCGACAGCATTTCCGATCAACGACCACAGAGGAAGAGGAAAAAAGTACCGCCACCTGCTGGATTGGAGAGCAATTACAACTACAGCCATTTGCTGTCATCAGCACAGACTGTGCCTTAGCTTTGATTTTACACAAACATCTCACATAATGAAAATCATGTAATGATCCAGAAGCCAATATTCATTTTTTTTAAACGTGGAGATAATTTAAAAGATGTTGTTTGTCATGTTATTTATTGCACTGTTCAACCCCAAAATCTGATCTGCTACTCACATGACTTCTAATCAGGGACATTTGGTATATATACACACATGCTCATGACAACCTGCTGAAGTTCAACCCAAGCATCAGAATGGAGACGAAAGGTGATTTAAGTGACTTTGAATTTGCCGTGTTGATGTCAGAGGTCAAGGGAATACAACTCGTTTCACTCAAGGGATGCAGAAGAGCACCTTTGAATGCAGATGAGTTAGAGCAGCAGAAGACCATACTTTGTGCCTATCAGCCAGGAACAGGAAATTGAGGCTTTAATTCATACTGGCTCATCAAACGTGAACAACAAAAGCTCGGTAAAACTTTGTCCGGTCTGATCAGGCTCAATTTTTGCTTTCACATTCACACGGTAAAGAGTTTGGTGCAAACAACATGAAAGCATGGCATCGCCCTGCCCCGTGCAAGTGGTTCAGGCTGGTTGATGGTGGTGTGAGGAATATCATCTCGGCACACCGGGTCCAGAAGTATCAGTTGTGCATCACTTAAATGCGACAGCCTACCCGAGTTCTGCTGCTGACCATATTCCCTTATGACCACAGTGTACTCATCTTCTGATGGTTGCGTCTGGGGAGGATAACGCGCCACATCACAAAACTCGAATGATCTAAAACTGTTTGGTTGTTTTTTCTTAAACACTGCAACAAGTTTACCAGAATCTCTGAGGAATGTTTCCAGCAGCTTGTTCAATTTATGCCGCGAAGAAATTATAACAATTCTGAATGCACTGGCGGGTTTTCCATCCACGCTGTACAAGTTGTGAAAAATAAATAAATAAACACAAAGTCAGAAAGTGGCTCCTGAGTATCTTTTATTTGTTTTACTGCAAATAATCAGCAATTCAGTAGACGTCTAAATGCACAGCATTAGACTTTGTGTACTCAGTCACCTCCTCTCAACCACAGTCCAAAGGTCACAATAACCATGGTGCTTGTTTTTTTATTTATTCATAGTATAATATGTCATTAAATCACTCCAAACCTCCATCCTATGAACAATGGTGTAAAAATAAGTCTCTGAATGTCTTTTGTATAATAAGTGTGTTAAATAAATTAAATCTGAGGTAAACAAAACACATTTCAGATGATACCAATATTCTTAAGGCTTGTGATTTCTACTTTTGTATACTGACAAAAAAGAAAGAAAAAAAAAACCACCCACTTTTACATTTTTTTAAGCATACAATACAAATAATACACTCACAGCAGGTGCAAAAGAATTTTTCACACAATTTTAAAAAATAAAAATAAAACTAGGTGTTGCTGTCATTCCCTTTGTGAAAAGAAAACTCACAATAAGCCTCTGATTGTACTTTATGTCTTTAGCACCGGGCGGCTGAGCTATCCGCCGATGATGGCAGGATTTTATTTCTTTTAAAAAAAAAAAAAAAAAAAAAAGGTGCTTAAAGTCACCGTATCCTCTTGAAGAGATTTAAAACTGATACAGATTCCTGAAACAAAAAATGAAGAAACTTGGTTAATGTTTTCAGCAGGTATTAAAATGGGCGGGGTTTGTTGTCGATGCTTTCTCACCTTTGTCGAGCGCGTTTTATTGAAAACGTTCCAGAAGCGTAAAGTCTCGTCTCCAGCTCCCGTCACGATCGCCTCACCGTCTGGAGACATGGCCTAGAGAGTACAACAAGTCATTCGAATTTTATCTCAATAATGTTCTTATTTAAAGTAAAGCGCTATATAAATACAGGCCATTTATATTATCAGTGGAGAGAAAAAAAACCCAGACTGACCAGGTAGAGCACTCGGTAGGAGTGTCCTGTAAGCTTGGCCACCTGAGTGAGAGCTGGATATTTCCACACCAAGATTTGATTCTGAGAGTATCCGTGGGTGCTTACCTGAAAAAGAAAAGCATTTGTTTGCTTTTTGTTGTTTTTAACAGCGAACTCCAGTTCATGTATGTGTGATGGACCAAGCTGAAAAAGCAGGAGTTGCAGGAATGATCCGAAAATGGGTTTTCATTTATTTACAAACAGTAAATGTTGAGCTCATGAAAGAAGTCAAAGAAACAGTGAACTGTGACCTCAACAAACCAAACAAACATGAGTGACCTAAACAGGAAATGACACACATATAATGGCTGATCAGACCACTATGACACAACAGAAGTAAACAAACCACAAAACGATGCAGCACAGTCCAGTTTGTTAATAAACTAAACACCAAAGAAGAAAATCAAAACTAAACCCTAAACTCAAACATAGGGATGGGTATCGTTTAGGTTTTATCCGATACCGGTGCCAAATCGGTACTTTTGAAACGGTGCCGGTGCTCAAACGGTGCTCAAACCGGTGCTTAAAGAATGGAGAACACAAAATTGGTCCAAAAACTTCTCATGTTCAGCTGTTTTTTGTAAAAAGATAACAATGTTAGCCTTTTTTGCAGCTATGGGGCATATATGGTATCACTCTTGGCTGGAAGCTTAAACAATGGAAAAAACAAACTTTGTCCAAAAACCTCTCATGTTTAACTGTTTTCCTCTTTTTCTTTGGTCATTTTAGCCTTTTTGGCCAGGGTGAAGGGAGTACCTGCCATCAAACAAGAAGACAGCCGCATGTAGCTATGATGATGTTTGCTAGTTCACCTTACATGCATTAATGTAATAACGTGGTTAGCCTACTCAACGTAAATTACACACGAACAACATTAAGCGACTCACGCAGAGAAGAACGGCTGCTGCTGCATCATCATCCTCATCATTTCTGCTACACTGGCAGGGCTAGGGGCCAGGACTCTCCTCTTCGTGTTTTTGGGGGATGTTGCATAACAGGCAACCCACCCGCAGTAGATGCGCTCGGTGTGAGGTCTCGCAGCAAGCTATCAAATACGGCGCATTTCTGGGCTTTTAAAAAAAACGCTATGCGTCGCCAGGTGTTTCATCGGATTCGAGGTGTTACCTCCTTTGACAGTATCACAGTATCAGCTTAAAGCACTTGTTGCTGCTGAGTTTGCATCTTTTGCTGTGAAGTACAGCCAGACTTTTGACCGCTTCGCCTTGGACATTTTTAATCTGTAGCTCTGCTCTAAAAGAACGTACGTACCTGGGCCCGCCTACTATCCTTGGAAAGGTAAAATGATTGGCTAGAAGTGTATCACAGCTCAGGAAAAAAAAGCACTGAAATAAAGCACCGAAATGTGCGCTGCTTTTCGGTCTGGTTACTACCGTTTATGCCAGAACCGGTGCCATCATGGCACCGGACACCGGTACCCATCCCTACTCAAACATTTAACTAAAGAAAACACACTTTCTCCCCCTTCAGCAGGAGGTGGTGGTGCGGTCCAATCATCCCCTCTATGCATTTCACTGCTTTAAACGCCACCTTTTGTTTCCTTTACCTGTTTCTTACCTGCCACGATCGGTGAGGGAGGCCAGACAAAGACTATACAAAAATCAAACCAAGAATCAGAAATAAATTGGTATAAATACATAAGCAAACTAAATGTGCGCGCTTACAAACAAATGTATCCAAACCAAACAATAAACTTACTGCAAACTGAAGTGTGTTATTATTATTAATGAAGAAATAAAGAATACATCAGAGTTACCGACTTTTAGAGTGCAGTCATGGGTGTGGCCATCACAGTATGTAAAGGCGATATAGCTGAATTAACAGCGAGCTTAATCTCTGAAAACCTCTTCTTTCTTTCGGGGTCGCCACAGCAGATCATCTGCCTCATCTCAGCCTATCCCCAGCATCCTCTGTCGCACCAACCCTCTGCATTTCCTCCTTCACTGCATCCACGAACCTTCTCTGTAGTCTTCCACTATCCTTCCCTCTGCACAGGTCCAAACCATTATGTTACCGTTTTATGGGGTAACTGTTGAACCCATTCTCCATAACGGATAACCTTTGTGTCAAGCTCGGATCACAAATTCAAAATGTCATTAAAAGGGCTGGAAAGATGATTAGCATGCTCCATCCATCTTCCCCCCAGAAGATATCTGAAGAGTCAGTGATTGAGTGGGTTGGGGGAGGATCACTAAAGATATAAATCACGTCCTTAATAATAAAGAGCATGACTGATGAAGAATAAAGTACGAGACTCCTGCCTGACAGAATCTGTCATCCTGCTCATCACTAATACAAAATGATTAATCTCTTTATCTGTGTATTTAAAGTTCACATTAAATCAAACATGACAGTTACCTTATGTGACAGTAAGACTCACCTACCTGCCAGTTTTGGGTCCAGCAACGACAAATCAGTAATTTTGCAGCTATTCTTAATTCTGAAGTTTGTCATTTTCAATAAAACACACAAAACAGGATTCATTCTGCACTCGTAGGGTTACGCTAATTTTACATGCAACGAAACAGAGTTGAGTTTTAATCTCCCTCACTCATGATTATAGAGCTGAGGTCGATTCATGCAGAAGCCCCTGGAGCTGGCCAATCAGAACAGCTCTGTACATGTATCCAATCGACTTCAGAAAATGCTCTTAACTAGGGATGAGTACCGGTATCCGTTGCCATAATGACATAAACGGTAGTAACCAGACCGAAAAGCAGCGCACATTTTGGTGCTTTTTTTCCCCTGAGATGTCACACACTTTGGATTCTAGCCAATCATTTTACCTTTCCAAGGATAGTAGGCGGGGCCAGGTATGTACGTTCTTTTAGAGCAGAGCTACAGATTAAAAATGCCCAAGGCGAAGCGGTCAAAAGTCTGGCTGTACTTCACAGCAAAAGATGCAAACTCAGCATCAACAAGTGCTTTAAGCTGATACTGTGATACTGTCAAAGGAGGTAACACCTCGAATC